ACCAGTACATCGCGGAGATGGTGCGGCACGCTCTGGACACCCACCAACACTCCATTCCATCTGTCCTGGAGATCCCATCCAAAGAGCACCCCTATGACGCCGCCAAGGACTCCATCCTGCACAGGGCCAGGGGCATGTTCACTGCCAAGACCTGCGCTAAGGGACTCCCCAGGCTCTTCAGCCCCTCCCTGGTTTCCAGCTCTGTCCCTGGACTGGCCTTCAGCTCTACTTTTAAGTTTTAAGCCTCTGGTTTTCAATCCCCTGCTCCTTCCCACTTCAGGGAGAGGCTGAGTGAGGTACTTCTAGGTTGCTGGGGCCCTGCCATTAAAGTCAAAGCTGGTGGGGGAACAGGAAGCTGATCATCTTCCCTCTCCACTACCTCGTCCTTGTGCTGGTATGCAGTGTCATTGTCAAAGTTCAGTTAAAGTGATGCTTTTGCTCCTCTAAAAAAAAGAAAAAAGAAAAAAGAAAACCACATGAGGGACCAGCAGTTAGTGTAATGGCTATGTCGCTGGACTCCCCAAAGTTCAATTAAAGTGATGTTCTTGCTCCTCTACACTGGGCTGGGTGCTACAAAGGACTTGTGTGAGGTGAGGTGCGTGGGGAGATGAGATTGGCAAGGATAGAAAAGGTTCTACAGAGGACCTGAGCATAAAAGAGCTGGAGCCGGAGGCCTGTGCCAGGAGGCCAGAACTCAGACAGGTCTTCAGGATGGGACTAGCTCTAGGGGGAAAGGAATGGGAGGAGATGAGCCCAGCTCCGACCCCCTTTCCTCAGTCTGCATCAGACTAGGAGGGGGCCTGACCCAAGGGATAGAAGCAGAAAACAGTTCCAGGTAACCTAGAAGCCTGTGGTACTGGATCGAACCTGGCCCGAGCCCCAGGCTGCCTCAAGAAGGAAAGCACATGAGGCCTGCTGAGGGTATGGCAAGTAGAACCCTGGCCTGTGTGAGGTGAGGCTTGGTTGCCAGGTGACTGTCCCAGAGCAGCCCTCTGCAGTGGGAAGGACTCTGTTTGCTGTGCTCACCCTTCAGCTGCAGTCACCCAAGTACAGCTCCTTCCCCTGCCACCATGTCACGGCAGCTCAACATGGACACAGTGCGGCAGAACTTCTGGAAGGAGGAGTATCTGAGGGAGAAGATGTTGCGCTGTGAATGGCACCTCAAGTATGGGTCAATGGTGAAGGCCAAGCAGAAGGCTAAGGCTGCAGCCCGCCTGCCTCTCCAACTTCCCACCCTACAGCCCAAAGCCCCACTCGCACCACCCTCTGCCCCTAAAACAGCTCCTTCTGAGGCCCCTAGCCCTGTCCCAGAGGCTCCTTTGCAGTCAGAAATGTACCCAGTACCGCCTGCCACCCGAGCCCTGCTGTATGAAGGCATCTCCCACGACTTCCAGGGGCGCTACCGCTACCTCAACACCCGGAAACTGGACATGCCAGAGACACGCTATCTCTTCCCTGTCACCACCAACTTTACATATGGCTGGCAACTGGGTGAGCCCCAACATTCCCCAAACCAGTCACCTTACAGACAGAGCACCTGCCCCGTGTCAGTCAAGGTGCAGACATTCTAGTGGAAGGTCCAGACCATAAAAATAAGAGCAGGGAAATGTCAGAGAGAGCTGAGCCCCATGGCACTGCAGTGACGGTGGGCAGGGAATCGGGTGTGTGCAGCTTTAGACTGGATAGTCAGGAGAGGCCCTTCTGAGGACCTCAAGGCAAGACCTAAATGACAAAAAGAAGTTAGTATTTTGTTCTAGTGGGGGTGGTCGATGGAGGATTTGAAACAGGTGAGTGATTCTGATTTCCTTTTTTTTTTAAGGCTTTTGCCATAGGGTGAATGCATTCCCTGGAGAGAAACAGAGACAGAGGGAAAGTGAGAAATCACCATATGGGGGAATGGCCATGCTGCAATCCCTTCTCTGTTCTTTCAGGATTTGGGGCATGCATGCACATGCACCTGGGATTTTTCTTTTTCTTTGGAGAGGTTTTTGCTATAGGGTGCGTGCGCTTGCCAGCCAGCCAGACAGAGACAGAGAGACAGAAAGCGAGAAATCACCCCCCAGGGGGGATGGCCATGCCGCAATCCCTTCTCCTCCATTCTCCTCTTGGGATCTTGGGCTCACACGCCCACGTGCCTGGTGTGAATTTAAGCTACCGGGTCTGGGACTTGAACCGCGGTTCAAGTGGGAGTCCAGTGACATAGCCGTTACACTAACTGCTGGCCCCCAACACCTGGGATTTTTCAAGCCAGTGGTGCTGGGACTCAAACTGCACAGTCAGCCATGTGGGATCCAGCTGCCTTAGCCACACCACTTGGCTGACTCTCTGATTTATTTTTACAAAATGATCCTGAGTGTTCTTAAGGGAATGTCTTTTTCAGAGGAAACTAGAATCTGGCAGGTGAATCAGACATCTCTAATACTTTGATCCTGGCATGATGTGGTGGCTTTGGCTATGGGGTTGGGCAGTAGAGCTGAAATCAATTCAGGATGTATGGGAGGAAGACTCAGGGGAACTTATTGATGGATGTGAGAAGTTGGGGAGAGAAATCAGTGTCAACGCCCAGGTCGCTGTTGAGGCTTGGAAAGTGGGAAAGGACAGGGCTGGGGACTGGTGAAGGCAGGTACCTTCTGGTCATGGTATGCTTGAGGTGTCAGCAAAGTGACTGGGTCTCCAAGTCTGGCTCTAAGGAGCAAGGTCAGAGATGATGCAAATTTGGGGTCTACTAGCATATAGGCGGTATTGAAACCAGGCGATTGGGCTGATTACCTGGAGAGCTCAAATTACAGGAATCTGACAAGAAGGGGGCAGAAGGGTGGAGCCAGAGGTGGGTGGGAGACTGCATCTACTTTTTCTGTGAGGCTGAGTCAAGGCCAACAACTGGGAAAAGGCCTAAGCTTCGGCAGTGAAGTCCTTTGAGATGAGAAGTTCAGGAAAAGGAACAAGCCAGTTGCCAGTTTGCATCATGATGCCAAGGGTTCTCTTGAAGTCCTGAATATTCTTAAGAGGATGTCTTTTTCAGGGGAAATTAGAATCTGTCAGGTGAATCAGGCATCTCTAAAACTGTGAGTGATCCTGGCGCAATGTGGTGGTGGCTTTGACTGTGGCGATGGGCAGCAGAGCTGAAATCAATTCAGGATGTATGGGAGGAAGACTCAGGGGAGTCTTGAAGTGAAGTGAGGCCACTCTCATCTTACTCCAGCTACTAGAGTGCTTGCGCAGGAAAGGTGGTTGGTTGGGATCTACAGTACATAGTTGAGATTGTGAGCCCTAAGGGAGAAGTAAGGGGAGCAACCGTAGCCGCAGGTGAGCCCCGGAAGGAGAGCAAGAGGTAGAAGGAAGCCCCGTCTCTCCAGCCTGTCCCTGTGACAGGGCTGGGAGGATCCCGAAGCTGGGGCAGTCATGGCAGATGGCTGCCTGTGCTCTGCTATCAGTGTCAAGTCCAGCCAGCTTCCTGAATGTTCTTGTAGCCCTCACTTTTCAGAAGCACTTTCTCTTTTTTTTTTTGGAGAGGTTTTCGCTATAGGGTGCGTGTGCTTGCCAGACAGACAGAGACATAGAGACAGCGAGAAATCACCCCCCAGAGGGGATGGCCACGCCGCAATCCCTTCTTCTCCATTCTCCTCTCCGGATCTTGGGCACGTATGCACACACGCCCAGTGTGAGTTTTAAGCCACCAGGTCCGGGACGGGAACCGCAGTCGACTACGTGGGAGTCCAGCGACATATACGTTATGCTAACTGCTGGTTCCCTTAGAAGCACTTTTTATTCTTCACACAAAGGAGCCACAACACAGTAGATTCTCAAATCTGTGTAGACAGGGCTTCCCTACTCTGAGTCCCTTCCATGGGAATCCATTCCTGGCCTCTGACCTCTTTTCCCAGGCCCCCCAGTGAAGCAAGAAATGGTCTCCTGCAAGATGTGCCGCATTGAGTCATTCTTCCGCAAGAATGGGGCCTTCGCACTGCTTGACCCCCGGGACCTGGCCCTCTGACCTCTGGCTGGGCTGTGGGTTTGGGGGTAGAAAGAAGAAATAATAGAATTTCCAGTAGGGCGAAGCTGCTGTGTGTCTATGTCTGCTGTCCAGGCCCCGAGGCTGCATTTTGGGCCTTTCTGAAACAACTTCTGGCCACAGGTTGCCTCTTGCTTTTCCCCAGCGCTTTGAAGACCTAGCAGTGACCAGAGCCGGCTGGGATGAGTGAGCTACTGTTCAGGTGCAGGCTCAGCCCCAGGGGGCCACAACAGCTTCTGGAAGTTCTGGGTGTTCCTGGGGAGAGAGTGGCTTGTCATCCCGGATGCCAGGTTAAACAGACCCCCTCAAAACTTCCCTGCTTCTCCCTCACCTGGCCCTGAGAGCCCTCAGCCGTCCTGTCCTCTCCTGGTGCACCTGGTCCAGCTGCTCCCTCAGGGCTTGCCGCCGCCCAGCTGTGTCCTCCTGCAGGAGCAGAGAGCTGAGCGCGGGTCCCTCGCACCCCAAGCGCGGCCCCCGGCTCATGTCCCACGGAGCGCACACCCGCGCCTCACCTAGATTGGTCCCTGCCCCAGGCAAGGTCCTTGGAGTCCCACCGCCCTCTCCCGGGGGTTGGGGGGGGGTGGTGGGGAGGTCTTGCCTGTGGCAGGAGCTGAGCTGGATTTGGCGGGAGCTCCAGGGGGTGAACCCGGCAGTGGCGGTTCCTGGCGATGCGGAGGCGTTCCAGGATCTGGGGAGGCGGCAGTTAGCTGCCCAGCGGCGCCTCGGTGCCCTGGCCTCCCGCTAGCTCACCGCGGCCAGGCCCCGGCCCGGCCAGCCGCCGCGGGGACGCACCCGGAGCCGCTGCTGCTCGCGGTCTCGCCGACGCCGGCGTCTGGCGGCTCCGTGCAGCTCCAGCAGCTGCTGCAGGGCGGTCTCCAGCTGCGCCACGCTCACTCCCAACACCGCCTTCCCTCTGCCCGCGGGCGACGGCCATGCGTCATTCGAGGGTCTGGGGTCCTGGGGGACGCCCTTCCGTTCCCCGAGGACGCCCGGGGGCCTTGCCTCGCCCACCTCCTGCTCCGCTGGACCGGGGCCTCCTCCCGGGTTCTGCAGCCCCTGTGGATAGTGTGCCAGCTGTGGGGTCCCGGGGAGATCCGCGCGGGGCGCTCTTTGCACGGATCTCTGGGGGCTTAGTGCCTCTGGCATCACAGCCCCCAGGCCTGGGAGCCGCCGCCCTGTGGCGGACCTGGGCGCGGGGGCGGGGAGGGGCGCCCACGCTGCCTTCCCGGCGGGCCCCGGTTTTGCCACAGCCAGGGTCGTCTCTCTCTGGTCTTCATCCTGCATCAGTTGGGTGGTCCTTCCGCGGGAGCCTGGGCTCTCCCTTCCCCCAGGCTGCGTGCTCTGTTCTCTCAGAGGCCGGCAGAAGTCCCTGGGATAGCCTGGGGGGTCGCCTTCCTTTGGGGACTGTACAACAGCCTCTCCCAGAGCCACCTCCCAGGCTTGTGAGATACTGCCTTCTGAAGACTGGACAAGGTCTGTTTCCTGTCCCCAGGGTGTCCCCTCTCTCTGGCACTTAAGACCATTTCCTCTTTGACTTTGTGGGGCTCCTTTTTGACTTTTGAGGCGCTCGCTCTGGGGTGCCTCCCCTCTCTGACCCAGAGAGTCCTCCCCCCTCTGACTTTGAGGTGTGTCCATCCTGAGCGTTCTCTGAAGTTCTGTCCTCTCCTGGTCCAGGATGGAGCCCAGACCCTTGGGGGGATCTTGAGGTGCCTGCAGGCCCAGGGTCTCCTGAGTGGTCATCTTTCCCTGTGGACTTCTGGATGGTGGTAGAAGGGGCCTCTGGGTGGTGGGCCCTGCTTGGCTCCCTTCTTCCCTCTGGGCCAGGTCCTGGTAAAAAAGAGCATGTGGGGCAGCCCCCATGTTAGAGCAACTTCCCAGGGGACCCCAAAGACACCAGACTAGCCCTTTGCTTGATGCCTGCATTCTTTTTCTCTTCTTTTCTTTTTCTTTTCTTTTCTTTCTTTTTTTTTAAGTTTCTTGCTATAAAGCTTGTGTGCCGGCCAGAGAGAGAGAGGGAAAGTGAAAAATCACACAGACCCCTTCTCTCAGAGGCCAGCAGAAGGGTGATGGTGGGGATGGGAGTGGAGTTGGTGGCCATGCTGCAATCTCTTCTCCATTCTCCTCTCTGGACTTTGGGTATGCACACATATACACCCAGTGTGTTTACAAGCCATTGGGTCCAGGACTTAAACCACACAGTTGGCCATGTGAGATCCAATCTCCTTAACCACCATACCACTGGGCTGACTCAGAGCAGCTATTTTTTTGTTTTGTTTTTTTAGTTTGTTATAGGATACCACTGGCCAGAGAGACAGACAAACAAAGAAAGTGAGAAATCACACCCTGGGGGGGATGACTATACCACAAGCTTTTCCCCTCCATTCTCCTTTCAGGATTTTGGGCATGCACACACGTACACTTGACACATTTTTCAAGTTGCCGGGCCCAGGACTCAAACCACGCAGTCAGCTATGTGGGATCCAGCAGTCTCAGCTACCCTGCCACCTACTGGCTCAGCCTGCATTTATTTATTTGTTTATTTATTTATTTATTTATTCTAGGTATTTTTTAATGTTTTTTTAATTTCAAGAAAAGCAGTTTTATCTTTAATAAATCAAAGAAATGCTAAGGAACTTTATTTAAAACTTAAAGCCAGGAAACAGGTTAGGATTCTGTTCAATTAGTAAGTACATGAACCTATCGGCAGCACAAGACAGGACAAAAATCCTTAAACCTGGAAGAAAAACATTTGCCTAGAAGAAAAGCAGCAATGTTTTAGTCAAAAGTCACAGAATGCTATTTTACCAGTCAGTCTCATGTACTTAATCTATCTTCTGTTGTGGTTCAATCTAATTCTGTGATATAAGATTCAACTTCAGGGACCAGCAGTTAGTGTAATGGCTATGTCGCTGGACTCCCATGTAGTCGACCGCGGTTCTAGTCCCGGATCCGGTGGCTTAAACTCACACCGGGCGCATGTGCGTGCATGCCCAAGATCCTGAGAGGAGAATAGAGGAGAAGGGATTGCGTTGTGGCCATCCCCCTGGGGGGTGATTTCTCGCTTTCTATCTCTCTGTCTCTGTCTGGCTGGCGAGCACACACGCCCTATGGCGAAAACCTCTCCAAAATAAAAAGATTCAACTCCAGACTTGTCCCTACAATTAAGCTGGCCATTTTCTTAGTTTTTGAACTCTTACTTCTCTGTGTCTGTATTTAATTTTCCTGGTATAGCACTCCCTTGAGAAATTCTTGGAGATTTGGTCTCATGTTGGTAAATTCTTTCAGGTTTTGTTTATCTGAGAATGTTCTTGTCTTTTCTTCCCATATGAAGGATAATCTTGCCAGGTACAGTATTCTTGGTTGAAATTGCTTTTTCCCTTAACGCTTTGAATATATTTTCCCATTCTTTCCTCACTTGCATTGTTTCCTATGAGAGATCTGCTGTTAGCCTGCTGGGATAGCCTTTGTAGGTAACTTGCTGTTTCTCTCTTGCTAATCTTAGTATCTTGTCTTTGTCTGTGGTTTTGGTCAATCTGGCTATGATGTGTCTTGGAGATCTTCTTGGGTTGATTCTATATGGGGTCCTTTGTATTTCTTGGGACTGGATCTTTGAATGCCTGGGGGGTGATTTCTCGCTTTATAGCTCTCTGTCTCTCTCTGTCTGGCTGGCGAGTGCATGCACACTATAGCAAAAACCTCTCCAAAAAAAAAAAAGAATTATTTAAGGACCAGCAGATAGCATAATGGTTATGTTGCTGGACTCTCACGCAGTTGACCTGCGCGTCTGTGTGTGTGTGCCCAAAATTCTGAGAGGAGAATGGAGGAGAAGGGATTACAGCATGGCCATCCCCCTGGGGGGTGATTTTTCGCTTCCAGTCTCTCTGGCAAGCGCACACACCTCTGTCTCTCTGACAAGTACACACACCCCATAGCAAGAAACCACTCTAAAAAGTTTCAAAATGATTTAATTTGATTTTTTATTATTTTTTTAAATTTTTCTATAGGTTATGTGTATGTGAGAGAGAGAGAGAGAGAGAAAGAGTGAGAAAACAAGCTATCAGGTCCAGGACTTGAACTGTAGTTGGCCATGTGGGAGCCCAGTACCTTAACCAGCACACCACTTGCTGGCCCCTAGCCTGGATTTCTTAAGCCCATCTTACATGGTGTAAAGATGGCTTCAGCAGGGGTCCCTTCTCCCACCTGGCTAGGAGGCAGCCCCCTCACCCCAGCAACCTCCTCCCAGGCAGACCCCACCCCTGCCATCCCCAACCCTTCCAGCTTTCACCTTGAACCCTGAGCTTCCCGGTTCCCCAGAGCTACTGCTGGTGGAGGGGTTCAGCTCTCCTAAGCCACCTGAGGGAGAGAGACAACATTAAGTGCCTTCAGTTCAAGCCCCAGCCCCTCCCACACAGTCCTCCTGAACTGGAAGCACGTGGGAGGGCGGGAGGGTGCCATTTGCAGTCCAAAGCTGTCGGTTCATCATTCCACCTTAACTGCACAGCCTGCAGTATGCCTGCTGGTCAGGTGTGCCTGCAGAGACCCCACCTTCCTCACCCCACCCCCTCCCCCAGGCAAGGAGTAACCTGCTCACCTCTTGTCAAGACCTGCAGGATGCCTGGGAAGGGTCAGTTTGCTGGGATCATTCTTTGCTCAGCATAAGGACAGGCCCATTTTGTCCTGGTGTGCTGTTCAGGACCACAGAAGGGACCTGTGTGTATCCCCTTAGTCTACTCCTATTAAGGTAAGTCCTCCTTAGCCCTTTCTTTTTCTTTTTGGAGAGGTTTTTGCTATAGGGCATGTACGCTTGCCAGAAAGATAGAGACAGAGAGACAGAAAGCGATAAATCACCCCCGGGGGGATGGCCACACTGCAATCCCTTCTCCTCCATTCTCCTCTCGGGATCTTGGTCACGCACACACATGCTCCCAGCGAGAGTTTAAGCCACGGGTCAGGGACTTGAACTGTGGTCGACTACATGAGAGTTCAGTGACATAGCCATTATGCTAACTGCTGGTCCCAGCCCTTTCTTTCTGACAACAAAATCAAATGAAATTCAAGAAAT